GTCTCTCTCCCAGCAGTGCATGGCTCTTGGTGTCTTTCTCAGTAGTGTGTGTCTCTCAGTGTTTCTCTCAGCAATGCATGTCTCTCAGTGTCTCTTTTAGCAGTGCATATCTCTTGCATCTCTCTCTGAGCAATGTGTGTCCCTCACATCTCTCAGCTGTGAGGAATTCTCTCTGCCTCTAGGAGGGCTCCTTTTGAGCCTGGCACAGTGGCCAAACTAACCAATCCCAACATCAGAATTCTATACACCTGAGAGAGAGAGAACTTCCCAGAAGATTGCTTTGTGCCACTCTCAGCAGAAATACCCCAAGTGGATAATTTTAACAATCAGGAGCTACTCAGTTGCTCGTGGAAAATCCCACCATGGAGTTTACAAAGACCATGGCTAGAAAAGCCATATTATGTAATTTACTGCACTGTACTGACTGTTAGATGTGGGCTCCTCAGCTCCTGGGCCATGGGGTGCTGAGTCCAGGGCCAGGTGCATTGCAGGTGCCTAGTTCAAGCTTAGCCACTGAGTGAAGCAAGGGTTGGGCACATCAGCTAAAGTGTTCCCTGTTAATAGTCACCATGCAGACACACCCCTGTGTGTGGATGTGCATGCCTGTGCAGTTTGTCAGGACATGCAGTGGGGGGTAGCTGTAGGTGGGCCCTGGGTTGGCAGGTAGCCCCTCCAGGCACATGGATAGGCATTCACTACGGTACCTATGAGGGAGCAGCAAAGTCCCAGAGGGGAGGCATTCTCCTGTGCTTGCTCTCTGGAGGCCTGGGTGGAAGGAGTAGTAACATGTCAATGTCCCTGTAGGGAGCCCACCTCCTCCAGCATGACCTGGAAGTGCTTACTGGTGCAGCTGGACACAATGCTTTCACAGTAGGATAAATGATTCCTTGCATGCATTTCTATGTGTCTAGAGTGCTACCAGTTAGGGAATCCCTACTCCTCCTTCAACACAGATGTACGTGATATACGCGCGCGCGCACGCACACACACACACACACACACACACACACTGCTATATATAGCAGCTGCAAGTGGTTTCTTGTTCCTCTGAACTTTGGATTCAGCCTCTCAGGGACCTTTCATTGCTTCCCTGTTATTTGTGGCCTTGCCTATACTGTTCCCCTAGACCCCGATGCATGCCCTTGAGGGCAAGAACATAGAAGGTCCCTGGCCAACATTTACTCAATAGCTGAGTTGAGGGGCAAATGAATTCTGGATGAGGAAGTGTCAAGGCTGAAGAAACTGGGCTGACCAGGTTTTGAGAGTCCCAGGCTGGGCCTAAGGCCAGTTGGTCTTGCCTCGACTGCTTTGGCCCAGGGACAACACACCAATTACCCCGTCCTCTTTCCAAGAACTCACATTCCCTTTCTTGCGCTGAGTCAAGTCACAGACATTGGTTATGATTGATCCACTGCAGTGGCTGTAGCTGTACCTAAAGGTGGAATCCTGGGATGTTGGGTCACAGAGGACTCTGGGATGCTCGCCTGGTGAGGTCCTGCCTCACAGGGGCCTCTATCCAGGCTTCTCCCTGGCTCCTTTTGACATCCATGCCCAGAGGGGCAGAGAACTGCAATCCCCAGGGTTTCTCTTGACAGGTGGCTGGCTCCACTAAAACCCTGGGGTCTCCCAGGGACCCTGTGATGGGCAGTTCAGTTCTGAAGGAGATTATTGCTCACTCTGTCTCCTAATTCATCAGCTGAGCTGTTAGTGGTGATCCATGCCTGGGATGGTCTTCATGGGCATGTGCCCATGTTGGATGAGGGAACTGATGGTGGCTTCTGGGCCTCCAGGTCCTGGGTGGTAGCCAGACTCCCTTCCAACTGATAAATTCTGATTGTGGATGTTTTTGGACTTGTGCAGAGGCTGAGATTGGGCCACATTAAGTTAGGGTAAGGGTGGTTCTCTTACATAGCTAGATTTCCCTTATAAGTTGTGTTGATAGCACAGTAGTCTATACCTTCATTCATCCACTCAGTCAGTACTTACTTACCCTACAGTCAGGCCCTGGGGCTTCATTCATGACCAAGGCTGACGTGACCACTACCCTCACAGAAAAGGGTCAACAATAAAACTTTGCTACTGTGTGTGGTAAGTGCTATGAAGGAGAAAGTAAGATGATGAGATAGAAAGAGAATAGGGGGTATTGACTTCAGATGGAATTGGAAGAGAGGACCTTCGCAAGAAGGCTGTATGTGAACTGAGACCAGAATGATAAGAAGGAACCACCTCTGAAGAGCTGGAGTGGCACATTCTAGTACATTCCATCTTCCTTCAGCTGGGACCCCAGTAGTGGTATCTGAAGACCAATTGCTTAAAGGTGTTTAAGAAGCTTTGTTGATCCTGAGAAAAAAAAAAAAAATTATTTGAATGCAATAAAAAAAATTTCCACACCCAAACTGAACTTGAAAACTCCTCAAGTTGATTGTTTGACAAGGTGAGCATTGCTTATTCAGCATGAACGGGGAAGAAGGGGTGCTCAGAAGGATTGCATTCACCTTGATGCCCCCTCTTCCTACCTGATTTGCAGTCTTGCTGCATTGCATATTCTGCCTTCTCTCCCTCCTGCTGAATTTGCGTCAGCTCATCAGCAGCAACCTGAAAATAGCTTGTCTTCCTGGATTCATGTCTTCTGAGCTGGCCAACGGGGCAGCCATTGGAAGTGGGCCAAACATGTTGGCTCTGGACTTTTCAAACTTACACAGAGCTGTTGGGTGGAATTCTGAGCACTCCCATGTGGCTTCAGGGTCATGCCCTGTGTCTGCTCAGGAGAAAAGGGCTGTGGACATGGCCCTGTAAGCCATTATCCCCACATGAGCAGTCCTGCCTTAGCAACCTCTCCCCAGGGGCCTACTCCACCATGCTGGGTGGTGGGTGTGTGAATGCTGGGCCATCTAGTCTTGTCTACCATGTGTCTTCAGTGTCAAGGACAGGACCAGGCACACAGTGGGAACTCAGCAAGTTTGTTGAATGAATGTAAGAATCTCCATGAGAAATTACTACTTTCGGACCACTCTCCAAAATGGGTCTTTTTTTTCTTTTTTTCCATGCATATGAGTGCAGACTGACACCTGAAACCAAAAAGGAAAGATGGCAAATTGGAACCTTCTTTTACTGCAAGAAAGCATGTGTCTCTGTGTGAGTGTATGTGTGCATGAACATTGAACATGGACATCATTGTCCATGTTGTCATCCATGGACAGTTACCCCTGCACCACTGTTGCAGGCCCTCTCCCTCCTGGAAACAAACATCTATGTTTCTTTTCTTCCTTTCCCCTGCAAGATGGAATTGCAGCCCCTCTCCTCTTGCCAAGGAAGTCAGGACTCCCACTGGAGACCAGCCATGCCAGGCACAGTCAGCCTGGCGGGAGGCCCTGCAAGCTGCAGCCCCGGCCCCTGCTGAGCCTGAATGTGCTTCCTCCACAGTTGAGCTCTGTCCCCACAGGCCCCAAGAGGGAGCCATTTGGCCCAGGAATTAGTTGTGGCTGGAGCTGAGTGCTGTTCCTGGACTACCTGGCTGGCCAACACATCTCAGCATTGGGATAAAAAGAGGATAGATGTGCAAAACCAGTTCCAGTGGCAGAAAACACATTTGGACTCCTTCGGGTGGAAGACAGATCTGGAAATAGAAGGATGCAAGACATAAGCTTATTGTCTTCCAATGTAGCGCTCCTCCATGTTTTGATATAGAAGGGGCTCTTTCCTCCCAACCCCCTGAATGGTGTGGATTTACCTTCTCTGCATAGCTGGAGAAAGGGCAGAAAGGACTATTAAAGACAATTATGCAGACCGGCGTTGAGTGCTAGTGTTTAACAAACAGCTTTGAGTTCTAATTTTCTGCAAAACACATACTGCAGGTACAATTTGTACTCATTACTGTATATTGGGAAAGTTATTAAAAACACTCAAACTTGGTGAGACTTCCTATGGCATCGTCCCTGGATTTTAATTGGTTTTTATCTAGTTATATAAAAGATCTCTTTAAACCCAATCAAAGTCCCTGCCTCAGTTATCTTGCCAGTTGAAGAACAGGGAGAGTCCATCGTAGGTGTAAGTTTTTACCTCCACCTGAATCTGCAGTCTCGACTGTCAATTAAGATTCCGTCATGAGATAATTTATACTTCTTTTGATGGGCACAGTTACCAAATGACAAAATAACAGTGTTTCGTAACATAAGGGTTAAATCTTAATCTCAGAGGTTTGCAAAGCTGCTACTCGCAGTCTCCTTAAAATTTAATATACCTCGTTAATGCTTCCTTGCAAACACTGAAGGATTTTTATGATTATAATCATGTGTTACAGCACCTAGTACTGTTTCTAAGCAGCATACTAATCAGCTTAATGAGATATTACTGCACTTTTTGTTGACTAAAGCAAAATCTCTTTTATTGTTCTAAAGCCTGTCCTTTACTTTATTTTTTCCCAAAACATTATCTTGTTTTATTATGTACCAGTAAATATCATGCCATTGGATTTTTTTTTTTTTTTTTGGCCAAATCATAAAATAATCTCTTTCATCTCAGATTGGTGAATGTATTGAATATCGTAAATGGCAACGAAAGTTCCAAGTGAGAGTTGATTTGGTCTCACAGTTAATGCCTGCCATTCTGCTCGAAGGCAAACTTTTGAACTGAACCAACAGGTTACAGGTGCTTCAAAGGGGGGTTGGGGTAGGGAGGAGAAAAGTTAAACACGTAGACCCTTGACTTGTTATTAGGTGTTGAAAGTGGTAAAACATTAATAATTTAAATGTGAATGAATAATTGCAGTCTGTAAATAGAAAATACAAGGAAGACTCTCTCTCCCCAAAACAAATTGGAGGAGCAACGCCATGTTGCATAATTGGCATTTAATAATTCATTTCTTTATTATTGTTTTTGACTATAATTCCTTAGCATTATTATGTGTAGGTAAGACATGAAATGCCAGTTCCCCCCAGCTGATGCTGTTGATTCCTTTCGTCATGGTGCCTGGCACATGTCTGAACTCTCTCTTTACTTTCAGGGATGGAAGAAGCGAGTCTGTGCCTTGGAGTGTCCTCGGCGACGCCGGAAGCTGAGCCCCACCTGAGCAGCCCTCTCCTCAATGGCCAGTATGCCATGAGTCAGAAGTTACACCAGGTCACCTCGCAGCTCAGCCATGCCTTCCCCGAGCTGCACCCGCGGCCCAACCCCGAGGAGAAGACCCCTGCCCCCCTGGATGAGAAGGCCCACGTGCCCATGAGTGGCCAGCCCATGGGCAGTCAGATGGCACTCCTGGCCAACCAGCTCGGCCGGGAGGTTGACACCAGCCTCAACGGGAGGGTGGACCTGCAGCAGTTCCTCAATGGGCAGAACCTGGGCATCATGTCCCAGATGAGTGACATCGAGGACGATGCTCGCAAAAACCGCAAGTACCCCTGCCCCCTGTGCGGCAAGCGCTTCCGCTTTAACAGCATCCTCTCCCTGCACATGCGCACTCACACCGGCGAGAAACCCTTCAAGTGCCCCTACTGCGACCACCGGGCGGCTCAGAAGGGGAACCTCAAGATTCACCTGCGGACCCACAAGCTAGGCAACCTGGGCAAGGGGCGTGGGCGAGTGCGCGAGGAGAACCGCCTGCTGCATGAACTGGAGGAGAGGGCCATCCTGCGGGACAAGCAGCTCAAGAGCAGCCTTCTGCAGCCCCGGCCTGACCTCAAGCCCCCGCCGCATACCCAGCAGGCCCCGTTGGCCACCTGCAACCTAGCCCTGCCTGCCAACCACAGCATGCCTGACGTGGCCAACCCGGTGCCCTCGCCCAAGCCGGCCAGCATGCAGGAGGACGTGGTGGCCCCGGCGGCTGGCTTCCGCTGCACCTTCTGCAAGGGCAAGTTCAAGAAGCGGGAGGAGCTGGACCGCCACATCCGCATCCTGCACAAGCCCTACAAGTGCACGCTGTGTGACTTCGCAGCCTCCCAGGAGGAGGAGCTCATCAGCCACGTGGAGAAGGCCCACATCACTGCCGAGTCAGCCCAGGGCCAGGGCCCCAACGGCGGTGGGGAGCAGTCAGCCAATGAGTTCCGCTGCGAGGTGTGCGGCCAGGTGTTCAGCCAGGCGTGGTTCCTGAAAGGCCACATGCGGAAACACAAAGACTCCTTTGAGCACTGCTGTCAGATCTGTGGCCGGCGCTTCAAAGAGCCCTGGTTCCTGAAGAACCACATGAAGGTGCACCTCAACAAGCTGTCCGTGAAGAACAAGTCCCCCAGCGACCCTGAGGTGCCGGTGCCCATGGGCAGCATGTCCCAGGAGGCTCATGCCAACCTGTACTCGAGGTACCTCTCCTGCCTGCAAAGTGGCTTCGTGGCTCCAGACAAGGCAAGCCTGAGTGAGCCCAGCCAGCTCTATGGCAAAGGGGAGCTGCCCATGAAGGAGAAGGAGGTCCTGGGGAAGCTGCTGTCTCCCATCTCCAGTATGGCCCATGGCGTCCCCGAGGGCGACAAACACTCCCTCCTGGGGTGCCTCAACCTCGTGCCACCGCTGAAATCCAGCTGCATCGAGCGGTTGCAGGCAGCGGCCAAAGCAGCCGAGATGGACCCCGTGAACAGCTACCAGGCTTGGCAGCTCATGGCCAGGGGCATGGCCATGGAACATGGCTTCTTGTCTAAAGAGCATCAGCTACAGCGCAACCACGAAGACACTTTGGCAAACGCCGGAGTGATGTTTGATAAGGAGAAGCGGGAGTACATGTTAGTGGGAGCAGATGGCTCCAAACAGAAAATGCCTGCTGATTTGGTTCACAGCACTAAAGTGGGCAATCAGAGAGACCTGCCAAGTAAGCTCGACCCTTTAGAAGGCAGTCGGGATTTTTTGTCACACGGGCTGAACCAGGCGCTCGATTACAACCTGCAGGGTCACGGGAACATGAAGGAGAAGCCCACCGAGTGCCCTGACTGTGGCCGGGTGTTCCGCACCTACCACCAGGTGGTCGTGCACTCCCGAGTTCACAAGCGGGACCGCAAGGGGGACGAGGACGGGCTGCACACGTGCCTGGATGAGAGACGGGGGTCCGGCAGTGACCAGGAGTCCCAGTCAGTCAGCCGTTCCACCACGCCAGGCTCCTCCAATGTCACCGAGGAGAGTGGGGTCGGCGGTGGCCTCTCCCAAACAGGGAGTGCCCAGGAGGACAGCCCGCACCCCTCCTCGCCGTCCTCCTCAGGTAGGTTGACGAGGAAGATTGCAGCACCCCATGGGGAAGAGCGGCTCTCAGGGGAGCCCTGCCTGGTCCTGCACTTGACCTCAGCTGAAGAAGGGCCTTGTCTGCTCTTCAGAATCTGATCTGAGGTCACATGTTTGGCTGGCATTTGATGGGTGGATTGGCTGCTGAACAGTGCCACTCTTCCCTTCAGGCTGCCCTGCCACAGGGGAAGGCTGTCATTTAAACTCGTGGTCTTCCCTTGAACCATGGCTACCAGGAAAGTAAGTTGATCCTCTCCCACTTGTGGTGGAGATGGCTGGGGGCAGGGAGGGTTTTTTATAAGTGGCAATTCCTGCCTGGCCTGCAGCCTTATTTCGTGCCCTGACCTCACCTGCCATTGCCTGTCTCTGGAGCCCTGGACTGGCTTGGACACCACCCATGCTATGAATCTGCAAGATGAGGCCCTCACCATGTTTCCCAGTAAAGGTAGTCCCATAATTCTCTCACCTGGACACCCCAGGCTCCTTCCCTACACCAAACCTACCTCCTGTCCCCTTCCAAAATTACAACGTAGCCCACTTGTCGGGCCTGTCTTACCTGAAGAACCATGGCATTTTCCCCTGATGGTTTAGGAAAGCACAGAGGTTTGAAAACGCAGATGTGTGGCTGCTCGTCTTAAACTGTACTGTGTTACACGGGTAATACAGCTTTGGGGTCTAAAATAGCAAAGCAGAAAATCTGTCATCAAAATGTCTGTGAAAAGCTGAAGCTTCCTGGCCCAATATGGGGGGGGAAAAAAAAAAAACCCTAGCCTAAGATGGCTAAATTAAAATCACTACCTAACAGCAGGTAAGATGTTGCCTTCATCCATGTTTCCAAGGCCCCTTACTAATGGATAGTAAATTGAAAGTTATATCTCTACCCTTTTGTAAAGAAAGCACCTCGCTAATACTGTAATCATTCTGCAGCCTAACAACAGAGGAAATCATGCCATAACAAAAACCCTGTTACTAATGGCAACATTGATTTCTGCAATCAGCCATTAAGTCTAGAAAATGAAAGACAGTTTGAGGCACCTCAAGGCATTGCATTGCCCACTGTTAAAGATGTGGCAGCAGACTGTTGAGGGTCATTTTTGTTTTTTAAGTTTCTTTTTCTCCTTTCTCTCTCTCTTTTCCTTCACAGTTTCAATGAATATTTTAGCATGGGAGGCAATTCAGTACTATGGTTATTAAGTACACGCCGGTTTAGTTTTGTTGTTATTGCCATGCTTCAATATACCCTTCTTCTAGGACAAAATTAATCTAAAAATAAAGTGTGAGTCTGCTGGCTTATTACAAACCAGAAAAGAATTGTTAAGACACATAAATCTGAACTGCACATTCCAGAGATTCCGATAGCACTTAATGCTGCTGCTTAAATACCCATGAAACACGGTGTCTACTCCTGGAGTCCTAAACTCGTTTGCGATTTATAGCTGGTGAGACACTTTAGAAGTCTAACCAGAGACAGGAGTACTGGGGGTCACACTATTTGGAGTGACTACCACAGGGAACATACTTAGATACAGGGAAGGGCCTTCAAGTTTTGCTCACTGATGGTGGGGACTCTATAAAAACGTCTCTCTACGCCGTGGAGGCAGCAAAGTGCCAGGCATGTCACTGCCAGGAGGGACTCTTTCTGGACTCCACGAAGAGGTCTCCTCTTCTGGGAAGTGTACTCTAACTGCTTTTAGATTGGAGACCTTTGAGGGCCAGAAAGCAGACAGCAAGCTGACTCTCCTAAGTTTCTGGAGTGATGTGGGGTTAAAATTGACAGATTTCCATCACTCTCCCAGACCTGGTGAAAGGAAAAGGTTTCAGCAGAATATTCCGACACCAAATGCTCGGCTTCATTAATGACGTGTTTACCATGTTTTTCTCACCTTCTGGCCAAGTGATAGCCTCATGCTATTCCTATCTCTGTTTCTCTGATGCTTTCATATCTCCAAACACTCGGTGGGAAAAAAAAAAAATTTTTGCTTGGAAGTACCAACCATGCCTGTGACTCAAAAGAGTCTACTTGAGTTGTAGTTATCGTCTCACTTTTATTTTCCTGACCGAAGTATGTTTCAATTGCAAGTACTGAGTCTTTCATTTCTGGTTGACTCCTTTGTTTTTTTCATATTCAAATTAGACTCTTTCATAATTTTAGGACTAAGTAGGAAAATGGATGGCAGACCAATATGCAGCCCAAATCAGTTGCATGTCTGGAACGTTCAGGTTGCCCTGGGATTAGGACCTTAACCAAACCCAGTTAGCCTTTGCTCTTATTTCTGACAAGTATGACTTGTATAAAGTGCAACGTATAAAGGGCATTTAAATGAAAATCTTGGCACAATAGGTATTTTATTATTACCTGTTAGAGAGAAACCCACAAGGTAAAGGGGAAAAAAAAAAAATATCTTTTAGCTCTTAAGAAAGAAGTGCTTATTAAGGCTTCCACAAAGAAGTAACTGCAAGCCACCGTTTTACAAATTTCTCAGACTGCATAACAATATCACAAAACTTAATTTGCATCACTTGATTTTTTTTTTTTTTGGTTGTTGTTGAAAACTGGGTCAGTAGGGCCTGAGAAACTATTTTTTCAGATCTTAACCAATGGATTCTTCTTTATAAATTGCTGCTCTTAACATGATAGTAGTTCTGAATTCATCATAAAAAAAAACCTTTTTACAGAGAGCCTCTTAGAAGGGATCTCCAGAAGGCTCACAATGAGTGGCAGACATGTCCTTTGTTATCTGATGTAATTCTTTGCAAAGGAGGATTGGGAATGGAGTGGCTGTTTAAAAATGTCTTGCTCAGACCGAGACGAAGAAGGGGTCAAGTTTGCAATCAAACAGTTATTGCCGAGATGGGCGACTGTCACTGGCTAGGCTAATGTGGGATGCAGCTGTTTGTTATGTGAGCAAAAGAATGTTTGAATCAGTGAACATGTGAAAATGATTCCAGTGAACCAGAAAATGTGTTTGTTCTTTGGCTCTCCAAACTGCTTAGAACCAAGCTTAAGATCAACTGTGGAAACGAGGACCTTGGACAAATTGAGAGGTCATATTTTCTAAGAGAAAATGGACAAAACTAGTCACACAGATCATTTCCTCATCCTTTGCCTTTGTTTTATTTGTTGTTGTTGTTCTTTATTTGACTTACTAATAATTTCACACTGTCGTAGGTGTCATTTCTGCTTTCGTGTACGATGCACAGGGAAACTCTTTAGAAAGCTGGAGCTTATAAATTTTACTCTTTCATGACATTTAGAAAGCAGGTGTTCAGATGCTTCCTGGTTTCTGGTTTGTGTGCACACGCTCCTGTTGAACTCTTCTCTGCCTCTTTCCCTAAGATCTCCTCTAAGACTTTGCTTGGGTCCTATCTTCACTCTGAGTCAGGAAACCACCAAAGTTCTGTTTCTTCAGATTTTGCTTCAGAAATCCTGCTCAGAATAATTAAAACTTAATGTACTAAGAAACGATACTGTTCATTATATCCAGCAGGGCAGTTACCTTCTGCATTCTCCATAATTTTGGAATGGGGATAATTGAAGTCTTGATGATAGGAAAGGGGTAATTGAATGTGTTGACCCTCTGTTCATTAAATAAAGTCGGCTAAGTTACATGATCAATGGAAAGCCGGGGAGAGATGCAAAGATGAAAATATTGTTAACCCCTACTACTTCTGGTGTAATATTTTGAGATGGACAAGGGTTTCACAAGGGTTATTTGATCAGCTGGGCTGGAAGACTTGCAGGATATTCTTTTGTTGCTTGAGCTGCATTCCTGAAATGCTGGGTCTCCATCCTGTGTGGGGCCATTGACCACTGCATCAAAAGCACTTATCCAGGACTTCCTTGCATTTCCATTGGGTGGCTAGTGATCTGATAGATTTGCTTTCTTTTCCTCCTCTTTTTTCTCATGTGGCTCCCTCTCCCATTCTCCCATCCCAGATAACCACTGCCTGCTCCATACAAACCAACCCAGGCCTCTAAAAGAAGAGGGGAAAAAAAGTTAAAAAATTTAAATCTGAGGATTAAGATCTTTTTTTTTTTTTTTTCCTTGTGCATTCCAATTGTTCTTAAAATATTTGGCAATGTCAATTAGTAACTGAGCAGAGTTAGCTGATGAACACAATTTTCCAGTAGACTGAACACCCTATTGTTGCCGAGCGAACAGCAGATTTCTGAGGTCATTATCATTCGCTGGTTGCTTGGCCCAGCTGCTTCCTGCTGCAAAAGCCAAACTTTATACTGGAGCTCGGGGATGGTGAGCAGCAACAGGGGGCTGGGAGGGGGAGAGGGGAGCTGGCTGCAGAGAGAAGACAGTCATTATGAACGGAGGAAACAGAAAGTGAAAGTTTCCAGGCAACTCCAGGAGAACTGCCCCATCAGGCTGCTGCTTCTTGCTGCTTTCCAACCACCTTCCACCTCCAGACAAGGAATTAAGAGGACCAGGGGATGCCCTTGGGCATTGTGGCCACTAATCCCTTTGCTGAGCAGAACTTTGGAGAACAATAATCCCATTTATAAATTTACTTTTTTTTTTTTTTTTAAATCTAAACTACAGTAGTGATTTCTTCATAAATGGACTCCTTTTATCACCCCCACCAACTAAAAAGTGATTTTTTTGAGATCATCTAACTTAAAACTGGTACACTGGTGCATGACAGTCGGGGAGCATTATTTAATTTTGCAGAGTGACTTTGTGAGCAGATAGTAGTATGAAATTCCTTGTAAAATCAAATGTAATGTTTTCTGCACTCCCCTCTCCTTGTCTCCCTCCGTCTCCTGCCACTCACCTAATTTGGGAGCTGGTTCAGGGAGATGAAAAGCTGCACTTTTTTAAAGCTCAGCTGTTAAAATCGAGCGCCATATGCAGCCCTTCAGTCCCCGACATGGAAGTGTGTGCAGGCGGCCCGCCGTGTTTGTGGAGATTTACAGAGGCTCGGCTTGTGTGTGTCAAAGCTGTGCCCAGGCAGACGTTGGCAAGGGCC